CCCATAATCTCCTTGATCTGAGTTACATGATATTACAGTACAAGTTCTCATATATCCTGGGTCTTAATTGACCTTGGAAGGCTAAGGCCAAAATGTTGGCTTTACTTGTGGCCCTCCTTTTTCTCTAATTTTTTGTCTGCATACTTAGGTTGTTAACCCTCCAGAAGGAAATCCCACTTAACAGACTGAAATTATTTGTTCACGTGGATTTGTGGTGGTGACTCCTTAAAGTCACTGAAAAACAAAATAAAGAGTCAAGAACCGCAGAGAAACTATCCAGTGTGATGAGAATTGAAGCATATTTACCTTCTGTATACTATTTAAATCACTCTTGAATGTTACTGGAAATTTTCAAGGATAACCTTGTACATGACTTTTTTTTTTTCACTGAATATATTTTAATTATAAAACAAGAATTTTAAACTTTTATGAGCTAGTTTTTGAACTTAATATCAGTGGGAGATCTGATGCTGTTGTATGTTTAAAACTGTATAATGATACTATATATATTATGATATGTATATATATATCAGTAACCACTACTTACTGTGGTTTATTTTAATCTCTTCATTAGCAGCTTCCAAATCTGAAGGCTCAGAACTGAACATGAGATGCAAATCAGTGCTAATGTAAGGTATCTTCTGCTCTTAAAACTCTGCTCACAAGGTGGGCATGTAGTTCAGTGTAGACCACTTGCCTAGCATATGCAATGGGTGGGTTCAATCCCCAGCACTAAAACAAACCTGTGCTTTGGTAAACACCCTTACCAAAGGGTGTTAAGTGCAGAGTTCACACCCTCTAGGGGTGAGTTTCTTGACCTGAATAAGGGTTGAGTTCTGTGCCAGCTCTCTCCTCTGTCAGTGCCATGATCTATAGATTTCTCTGTTAAGGCTTCTTGAGGCTAAACTTGTGCCCGCATGAATGGTTGGTGAAACGGCTGTCATCCAGGAGCGCTCAAATCCTTCTCAGTCTCTGCTGCTACCTCCCATTTTCAGTTGCCTGAATCACTGGTTCTCAAACTCAGTTGCATAGGTGAGTTATCTGGGGATTTTAGAACTCTTCATGCCTGAGACATCCCAGTTATACCCACTGGGGGATTCTGATCTCGCTGGTTATGGAACAGCCTGGGTATTTGAATTTTAAAAATTCTTAAAACTCTTTGGTCAAAGTTAGAAAATGAACTGGCCCAGTGCAGTTGCCACTGACCATTCTTTGTCTCACTCTGGCCCCCTTTCTTTTCCAAAGAGTACCATTTTCAAAATGATATTTTATTTTATTTTATTCCATAATTTTATTGA